GCTGCTGACACGTACGTGAAGGAGAGCTAGCGTGCAATTCTGAGAAAACAGAAGTCAAAGCAGCTTGATGATCTCCCTCCAACCAGCTGAACATCTCCCAGATCTCACTGCAAGAGGAAAGTGAAAGTATTTAGCAACAGGTCCACTGGTGATATGCAAGTCATTGAGAGCCCCACAAATAGAGGAAAATTCAACTAACTCTAGACTGCCCACAGCGTACCCCAGGAAAGTGCTGTCAAATCTCACTGACTTCACCACAGGCTCTTCAGATGCTCAGCTATGCTTAAAATTAAATCTTTAATCCCCATGAACAATATAAAAAGGGTAGAACACAACACAGGATAAGCTGAGGGCAAACCACAACTTTCTCGTTTGAAATGAAGCATCCTCTGAAGAAGTGAAAACATCTTTAAAACTCTCCTAATCAGCTGTTACCTCTGCTTTACCAACAGTTTCACACTCTTCCTCCTCCACCTCCCAGCATTCAAGAGATTCCTGTATTCTGTCTGACCACACAGTCACTAAATCTAACACTCAAAAAAAACCAAACCCCAATAGCGATAGCCTTAACTGCATTCAGATGTAATCATACAAAAGCTGTTTTTCTGCATGCTGTACTTTATCCATGTGCAAGGAAGGAGAACATACAGCTGTATACGATTTTCACCGTAAACACAGAGGTGCAAAACATGCACCAGGAAACCATGAAGTCAGCTGCCTCTCACAGCCACCTCACAGATTCCACCTGTGCAGCTTCAGTAATTTGAGTTATGCAGTTGGTGTTTGTGTGCTAACACAGACAGACTGAGAGGCCATGGAAGCATTCCCATTGATGAAAAGTGCTTCTGTGTGTGTTTGGTGGGAGCTCCCCTGCAGCAGCTGTACTCCAAAGTTACCAGTTACCCGTTTCCCGACAAGAACCTGCTATTAACTACAAGGCCAGGAAAACCGCTTCTTATCAGTTGGGAAGCGTGCAGCTAAACAGATGCAGAAAACCCAACACTTACATACCCAGGCTTCTTTGCCTTTCAAACAAGAAACTGGCATTATTTTTCTTTGCCCCTTTGTGGTCAGAATGTTCCATAATGAGTACCTTCTGAAACCCCAATCATGAATTACTATGCTTATATCACATGTATGAGCTGACTGCAGTAGCCATTGCCATTTCCAGCGGCTCAGAAAGGCTGCCAGAAATCTTAACATTCACGTTTTTAGTCATCTTATTTGGGGGCAGTGAGGGTGGGAACAGAGTTCTGACCATCAGCAGCTATACAGGGGCTGAGATTTCACACACATCTTTCTGCATCTCTCTCCAAGGTCATCTCAAACCTTCATTGTTTTTCTGCTCCAGCACAGAGAAAGACTCTAAACATCTTCAGCGCGTACTTGTTACACGTTACACTGTCTGTTAACTTTAACGAGCTGGTCTGATACAGAAGTAGTCATTACTCATCATGGAGAAAATACTCTGCTACATCAAGCCAACCCCAGCAGGTTACAAGAAACGCATTCCCTTGTTGATAAACACCTTACCTCAGAGCGGTAAAATAAATGAAAAAAAAATCCCTGTTAATATAAACCGTTCTGCATTACATGGACCAACCTGAGCCTGTGCAGTCAAAGCCTCCTTGTTTCCTCTCCTGGTCTAGCAACGCTCGTCTGTCTTCTGAGAAAACTTGCCTTGGATGCAGCTTCCCTTTATGTTCTGGCTAGAGCAAAGATCATTCCAGGAGCAAAACTGGTTTAAGAGAAGAAAAGGGGAAACTACTCAGCTACACTGTGAGACAGGAAACGGAAGGCAGGGGGGGAAGTTGGAAAAAAAGGGGAAGCCAGAATGGGTGATGGGGGAGGAGAAAAACATTAGTCACATTGCAAGTCAGCAGCATTACATATGCAGTAATTTTAGACTCATTCTGGCTTTCTTTTCCAATCTGTACCACCAAAGTACCAGCTAGGGTCCAGAAAGTTTCTTTGTGTAGTCGTCAGAAGAACTAAAAAGAGTGAAGGTCACAAGCATAGGTCTGTCCAGCTGATTTCAGGGGACAAAACAAGCTAGAGTTACAAGAAAGAGGTTCTTCAAATAGTCTTTCAGCTGTTAACATAACATCTTTATACAGGAAAGCAGGTGGCAGCAAGAACTCTCTCTTGGTTTAGAGTTCAGCTGAAAAGGATGATTTCTATAATGATGCCTCTAATTTTGGATGTCCTTAAGCTTCAGGCATAATTATGACAATTCAGTATTTTGAGGGAAAGGGAGTCAAGTCTTGGCAAAGCAAGGAACATAACCCACGACTCCCAAATTACAGGCTGTGGCTCTAACAGTAATTAAAGGAGCAGCACAGCAAGCAGCATTGTAATGATGTGAAGCGTCAACATCATACCTTTGACTGCCTCCCCGCCTTCCCACAGTCCTAGAACTAGGTTGCAACAAGACCTCACTAACAGTCTGTTTTAAAAAAGTCTCAAGAACATACACACTCTGATACCATGGCAGCATGACACATTTTCTCATTACCTTCCCACTCTACTCTTTGTTCTGCTTTCTAAGTTTCTGGAGAGTTTCTCCATCTTATCATTAAGAGTAGGACAGAGATGCTGAGAGATTCTTTAAGCCTGTGCTTCTTGTTAGGCATTAAATTAGCTTTACACTAAAAAAAGATACAGCACCTCTATTAGCTATGCCCTTGCTGAAGGTAATCAGAGTGTCTGCTAATTGACCAATCTAGCCTTAGGAGGTTTTTTTCCTATAGTAACAGATCAATTTCATCCTGAAAAAGAACAAAGATAGCTTCCTCATATAGTTATACAAAGTTTTTCCACAAGCAGTAAGATTACGAGGGCATTGAGCAGCATTTGCATCTTGAGCAGCATTTGCAAAAGCCAACAATCAAATGTGAGCTCTAGCACAGATCACATTTACTACCAGTTCCTCATGGTAACAGCCTTGTGGTGAACAGCACACAGAACTGTATGGCAGAGCTTCTGCCACATCTGAATTTCTTGGAAAAATGTTATCTATACTGGCTTATGGAAAACAGAGTAAACTGCAAGAGGAAAGCCACTTCAAAATCACTGCTTTTGCTCCATAATGTCTTAACACAATTACAACTGCGATTGCAGCAACATTGGTACCCACTGCCCCCCGACCTCAGCTCTGCCTAAAGGGCCCTCATCGAAAAGTTGCAACTCACAGCGCTCTAAACTCACCGCTACACTCTTGGAAAGCTTAGTCAGTGCAATGGAGTGAAGCTTTCTGCAGCACTTTCCCACTAGATTTTATCAGCTTTGACTCAGTTAGCTTTGTACCTCTCTGTAAGACAGAAATTGCTGTTTTATGAATGAAGAAACAAGTTTGTGTTAAGTGATTTGCTAATGTCTGTATGGGGCAGACTGTGGAAGAATCAAGAAAGAATCCAAGCCCAATTCAGTCCTTCAGTTTTAGTCACATGCATATTCATTTTCCAAATTCTCCCTGGTTTTCATGCAGCTTGCAGGCTTCATTTTTCTCATTAGCAATCACACTCATACACACATTATTAAAAGCACTATTTACCAGAAAAAAAACCACACAGAATACATCAGTAATTTTTAAGTGAGAAAAATAAAACATCTGTATTTCAACAAATACTCGACTCATTTTGATACAAAATTAATCTGCTGCTTTTTCAGCAGTACTCAGTCAGTTAGCTATCAAGCAAAACCACTGTCGCAGCACTAAAAAAACCACCCCATGAACAACATATTCTGAACATGGATAAACATTCACATAAATAGCGGGTAACACAAAAAGGAAATAAATAACCATCATTGCTGGTTTTCTCAGATCTCCAGCAATTTTTTCCCCCAGCATCTACAGCAGGTGCTAGGTTGAAGGGGAACAGAATTGGTCTGAAAGACTTCCCTGCAGCCATTGTTTCATTTTCTGCAACTTGTCTAAAGATGTATAATTTGTTAGGCAATGGGAAAACCAGTCCAGCCATTTTCCCCTCTTCCCCAAGTCCGTCTGGTCAGTTTGTTGGAAGTGTTAAAAGTGAATAGTGCAAAGAGTATCTCCAGCTGCCACGTAGGAAGGCAGACCTCATTCAAGTGACTCCTGTAACAAAGCACAAACAACTCCTATCAGTCACAGCATTTTTATAGGGAAGCTGCTGGTTTGGAGTTTCTAAAACGAATTTTAAAGAAAAAACCCATTTGACAACTGTGCAAATCAAACACCATTTATATTAAGACATCACACAACTGTACCCTATAGAAGCTGTCCTGTTATACATGTATAGAAATGAAGTCATACGGGGGGGGACGGGACGACACAACACCATGAAGTTGGTCAAAGATGAAGCGTTAAAGACAAACTCTAATGAAGTACCACTGGTCTTAAGCACCAGCTTCCCACCAGCTTTTAATACTACTCTTCACCTCAAGATTGACAAGCCAGGCTACAGAGGGCAAACTACACAAAGAGCTGCCACTACTTGCCCAGGATCTAGAGGACTACCTGACAACCCAGAGCGAGGACATCTTCCCACCAGCTTGCTGGAACCTGCAGCAAGGATTTACTTCAGCTTCTGTTCCAAGCGTTTAGCACTCCCACACACAAACCCTCTCTTCAATAGTAGCTGCCCAGGCTTTGCTGGCCCACAAATTATGACCCTCTATTACTAAACTAGTCTCATTTTAGCAGCCAAGCCTGCAGAGTGCTACCAACTAGGTATAATACCAGTAGGCTGCCAGAGGTTTGAGATTCATGACTTTTGAATATAGTTTTATCATGCAGACATCAACTTTCCCTCTCCCTGAAAGTCAAAGTATTAGCCTTAGTCTGTGATTAATGGGTGACTGTAGAACTCTGTGGCCTAAGGGAACAACAGTCGAGGTAACTTCAGTCCTCTCCTAGGATCATGATTCATTGTCTAAGCTGTACCACAGACAAATGCGTTCCAGGTTCTCTTCTCAGGCAAGAAATACAAGATTCACCGAGTAGATACTAACACGTTTCCTTCTCACATCCTCCTCCTTTTCCTGAAGCGGGCACTTCTCCTGATTTGAGGAGCACTGGCATCAGTCACCTCAGTGCAGGAGTCCAAGACAGATTGTGCAGCAATCTCTTCCGCTCCTATGCCCTGCAACATAAGCAGAAGAGGCTATCAACACCAGGAAAGCTGGCATAATTGCAAAAGAACCCCTTCAGCCATCTTTTTCTTTTAGGGAGCTCAGCAAGATTTCCATTTACCTTCAAAATTAAGTGTGGGATAACAACATTCTATTACCAATTTCACAGCAAGCACAAAACATCCCAAACAAACTTTTCAGAGTGAAACCTTCAGCCAATACTGGCATTTCATCCTGCAACACATGCTTCTACTACTGCTACTAAACTAGATAAATTGCTGCTATAGCTTCTGTCTGGGCACAGCTGTTCATTAGAGATGTTGTGGGCACAACCATTCGTTAAGAGATGTAGTGTGCCTGCCTCGATTGATGCTTTAGCTTTCACTGCTGGAGCCAGACAATGCCCCAAACAAAGGTAAACACAAACTTGTGATTTCTCATGAAACACACCCCTACCGCAAGCTTTTCACTGAAAAGCACCAGGAAAACAATCTGGCTACAGCATTAATAAAAGGAGTTGGAGGGAACCTGGTGGAAGATGACACAGGACAGAGGTTGACAGTAAGGCTATCAGGCGGTGAAGAATTGCTGACGACCTGCTCGCAGTTCAAAGTACATTGAACTTGGCCCAGACCCAAAAGTCAGAGCCAGAATAGAAAGATAACTGCTGGCTTTTAATACTGGAGATCTCCGATTTTTAAGCAGCTTCACCATCTTTCTGTGGAAACAGCCAGTTACCCCTTGTTTATTCATCTTCATTAGTGGTTTGTTTGTTTATTTTGAAGCCACAATGAGTTGAAAGGAAAGTTGGAGCTACACAACTTCCTGGCATACTCTGTAAGAAACAGTGCTGGGCAGTATTGGATTTAGCTTAAAAATCAGAGACCAATTTTAGGTTAATGTTATGCCTTACATCAATGCATATACTCTAATAATCTCTAGTTACATAAAACAATTTGGGATGAAGACCTTAAATTGAAGTAGGAGCAAACATACACAATTCCCTTGGTATTAATGGGGTTTAAAGACAACATACAATGAAAAACAAGGCCCTGATTTCAAAAATACAGTTTATAATCTGCTGCACTGACTCCTGTAAGAGGAAGGGAGCTTTGATACCCACTTCTGGAAACTATCATGTCAAGTTTAACGTGCTACATAAACCACAGCCTTTTACCCTTGTGAGGACTAAGGGCTCCCAGCTGAGCTAGAGAGCTTTTTATCAGCTGCAAAACTATGCTTATTCAAAAGGACCAAATTTCTGCTACGCTTAAGAACAGTGGCAGTTTCACTCTGCATTCCAGTGGAAGCAATATTTAGCTGGCAGTAACTGTCTGCTTTTAGTCCCTGGCACCTCTGTTTTACCTGATTTAGTAAATCAGCATCTTTGTCTTCAGGCTCATCACCAACCGTCCCATCCAACCGTACACCTGTTAATTCATTCCCACAACTCTCTTCTTCAGACTCTTCCTTCTCACTCTGCCACTCCTCTTCATCACTCTCTTCGTATTGCTTCCTGCTGGCTGACAGAGTTGTTGCCACTTTTGGAGGAGGCAGAGTTGCTAGTACAGCTGGGAGTGTAAAGGCTGCTAGGAATCTGGCTTTCAGTAGGAGGTAAGCAGGGTTATCGCCGAGTTTCTGCTGCACCAGTTCTGTGATAGCATGCAAGTCAACCCCAGTGCCCTCATCCTGACCGGCATCAGAAGGCAGAAGACATGCCGCTTGCTCTTCTAGAGCTGCTTTCTGCAGAAGTAGCTTTGAGAGGGTTTTTAAATTGCACAGAAAAGGTGGCAAATAAGGCAACCTAGTTTGCAGTGATGGTACCTGGACACCTTGCTTCCCATTTAGCCACTCCTTCACTAGCCCCTCATCTTCAAGGGAAATCAGGCTAAAGTCAAGTAGATTCTTTTCTGCACTGGAAGTGGTTGGCTGTGGTGGACTGTCAGCAGGCTGCGTAGTTGGAGGTTTGGAAGCAATAGGTCTATTTTTCAATGCTTGTGAAGCAAAGCAATCAGAGTTCTTTGGGATATTATTGTGGGGAACTGGATCTCCCGGCTGGAGCACAAGCCCCTTCACGATAACGCTTGGATTGGCAGATGATCCATTTGTTGCAATGGAGTCATGTTTTTTTCCCAAGCTAGTGAGACTTGACACGCACCGGGAATCAGATGCTTGAGTGCTTGCAGGCAGCTGTGTTTGGGGCAGCAGCGCAGCATGCACAGTTGGTCCATCAGCTAGAGGAGTCTGAGCTGCAGAGGAGTCAGGAGCCTTGGAGAAGCCATCTGAACGTGCACGTGTTGCAGAAGAAATGCTGGATGTGGTGCACCCAGGACTCACGGAGGTCGCAGGCAAGAGGATTGTGGAATGGTTAGCTGCCTTTCCCAGAGGTACTCCTTCTGCTAACTGGGCACTTGGTGCTTTTGTCTCTGCACTGCTGGGCTGAGGCGTATTTGCTCCAGCTGGTAGAGGAGGCACTCCTAAGCTAGAGACATCACCATTGGAAGTCACAGTTGTCTGACATTGACTTCTCACAGCAGCAGCTGGCAGTCCTTGGGGAACACCCACCACAGTTTGTACAGTGGTGGGGAGTAAAGCCTGTGGCGTTACGACCCACGTGAAAGGCAGTATGCTGTTGGGAATCAAAGGCGAACCAGCTTGTGGAGTTACAAGAGCAGGCAACAGATTGACTGGCCCTTGTTGTGGCCCATTACTATTCAGCTCACAGGGAACTGGTGTGGAAAGAGACAAGCTGTTGGTTCCAGACTCAACGCCAACAGGCACCACTGTAATCTGATGTGGCACAAAAGCTTGGTTTTGCAACACTACTGAAGCTGAGCTACCAGCTAGGACCTGACCATTACATCCTCCCTGATTTGGGGCCTTCTCCGCTGCAGCTGGAAACACTCCTCCTTCAGGGCTACTTTCCAAAGCTTGCTCTTTTTGTTCCTTATTGGATTGTAGTTCTGTCCCTTGTGAGGAACCAGGGCTTTCCCCAGTTTCTGGCACTGATGAGGAATGGTTTTCAAGCACAATAGCAGTAGAAGTTGAACCGGCACCAGAAGTAAATGCTGGCAACTGAGCTGGTGCACACCGTACTTGACTATTTGTACAACCAACTGCTGCAGGTTTGTTCCCTGCTTGTGCAGAAGGAATGATTTGCTGTGGTGGATGCCGGATTATCAGAGGCCCTGAAACCAGCATCTGTGGGGCAACAAATACTGTTGTCTGCATAGCTTTCTTAGCCTGTGATTCTCTTAGCCGCTTCTCTCTCAGTAATTCTGAGACAGTTTTCGGCTTCTGCCTTTGCCCTTGGGCTGGAAGAGCTGCTGGTACGGCAGGAGTGCTGCTCTCGAAGACAGCAGCAGAAGTCTCCCTTGCTTTTAAGGCAACAGGTCTCCTGACAGCATTCCTTGGTATACCCTTTCGGGAGTTCCTCTGAGTACAAGGTTGTGATGAATTGCCTATAGAGGAGGGGTAATAAAAAAAACATTAAAAGATTGGACAGCCTTTTCAGAAGCCATTCCTTAGCTATTAAGCATCACGTACCCTGCATAAGTAGCAGCAAAATTCCTGTTTGTGAGAGTTCCTACAACACTATAATCTTGATTTAATCAAGCCCATCCTCATATCCTTCAGATAACTCTGATGCAGTAGGTTACCACTTGTTCAGCAATTATGTCATTTTCCCCGGAAATCACAGATGGGCTAGGAACGGGCCTTAACACCGCGCACAAGGAATTGCACTGGTCAGTACCACACAGGCACTTCGCACCAGTCATGATGACAACAACAAACGGGTTTTGGTGAGCGCCAGCATGTTCACTACAGCCAGCACCTTGCTGGAGAAACGCATAACAGCGAGTGTCTACAGAACTGGTGGCCCAGTGCCACTGGTTCCCCAGCCCTTCAGTATTTTTTCCAGTCCTTACCAAAGGGTAACACATTTAGCCAATAACTGAAAGATCCAAGAGCTAGCAAAAATGAGTATGACAATGTAGTTTTGTTCCAAAAGTTCTCCTTCAGTTAAATTGGTCATTAATGTAACGGTGATGAATTAAGTGAAAGTTCTTGCACATCATAAAAATAAATGTTCTGGTAGGTACCTGAAGAAGTCTCCATATTTTGGGAAGCCTGCCAAGAAAATTATATTAAATTATACTTCTGAGATATCTAAAGATCATTAAAACAGCACAGATGTGAATCAAACCCACATCTGCCAAGATCTGATACGAGCGGTCACACACTACAGCCAGCATTTTATTGTGCTTCTGAACTAAAAGAAACTGGTAACACACACACACACACAAACAGCACCACTGGCCACACACAATGAAAAATCTCTACTTTAGTCAAGACTTCAGTGGGAAAAGCTTAGAAACAGACCACGTACAATACCTGCTGAGGCTTTCTTGCATTCGCCCTAAGAAGCTCTGACTGCCTTAGCCTTCTCTCACGAATAATCTTCATGCAGCCATGGGTATCAATCTGAAAGAGCTGCAAGATGTGAATTTCATTAAAATTTGATTGAGAACAAAAATGTTCTGGTATTGTCAGTGTCTCTACAAGATGGATGGGAGAGGCGTCACATGCAAGATTCTGGGGACATTTTTACACTTACAGAGAAAAATCCTGACAATATTAGATTTTGGATGCAGGATTTATTTAAGAAACATCACATGCAAACCATGGGGTCAGACTAATCCAGTAATTAGATATTTACTTTAAGGAACAAAGATAAACCATTTATTTAAGCATTAAATACAGAAATAAAGATTACCACTCTTTGAAAGCAGATAATGCTACTAAGACAGTACAACCTACCTGAATGAAAAGCGTGAACAGTGGAGTGCTTGTGAGACTGACTGACTTAATCTTCTCTTGAATAGAATCAGCTAGAAAAAATTCCAACATCAAAATCAGCTGGACATTCACGTACAAGATATCAGAAAGTAGGGACAAAAAGTAAGAGAGTACTATCCCTGAAGGGTCACCACTACCTTTTGTCTGATGAAAAGCCATCTTCCCAGTTTGCAAGGTGCAAGGCAGTAGCACATTGCCCACCCAAGGTGTCACTGCCATTAGAAGCTTTCTGTCAAGGTTCAGTCTTCTCAAACGCTCTCTCTCCTGACGATAAGTTTTCTCTGTGATGTTCTGCAGCTCCTGAATCTTCTGTCCAGACGTATTAACTCCAGATATTTTTGTTAAAATGGTGGCAGAAGATTTTAGTATCTTTGATTGCTGTGCATGAACAAATACATTATTAGAGTTCCAATTAGGAAGGTTTTACCATAATCAGTCCCAGGACAAACTATTCACGGGGCACTTATGAAAAAAATAATCACGAGCTTTTCCTCATGGGAACACAGTGCAAGAAGGTGCGTAATTCTATCAAAAAACATTTCCCACTAAATACAGCCTAGCAGTGCTCACATCACAAGAGCAAACGAGACAGAAGAGGTACTTACAAGTTTCCTCTGAAAGCACGTGTTGTATCTTAATGCTCTTCTCACATTCTCCAGGCTAACACGTAGCACTTGCTTTCCACACCTGGAAGCCTTAAAACAAAAGCATACAGGAAAAGATAAGAGGGAAAGTATCTCACAGAAAATTACTTGCACTGATTATACACAGAAGGTACAAAAGTTTTCAATGTTCCTGCTGTTGAACATATCTTATTAAATGAAATCAGCCCTGAAGTGCAGTCATTTACCTTATCTTTTAGTCCTTGTGCATTACCACAACACCAAACGTCTATTTCATAAAAGTATTTGTGCGAAGTATCTACAAAACCCCACACTGAGGGTCAGAACTTATCGGATGATTCTCTGCATTTTTTGGCTTAACAGTACAAGGGAAGGAACAAGAAGAGGTTTGGAAAAGCCACTTACTCTTCCCTAAACTTCTACTAGTAAAATAATGCTGTATCTGTAATCAAAATTAAAGACCCATTACACCAGATTAGCACTTACAACCCTTGCATACCATAACCCGCAGATCACACCACTTCTGTAACCAACAAACTTGTCATTGGTGCCATTGGCCCCGCAGTCTATGGCACATGTGCAATTCTTAGCACAAAAGTCAGAACAATTTTGCTTATGTGAACTTAAATAGTAATTTAGACATTTAGTATTTTGCTAAGGAGTATCTTTCTGCAAAAACGTGCCAGGAGGGTTTGTACTGTTTCAGTACCTGACCTGGGGTGAAAACCCAGCTCAGAATCAGATACGGATGTATAGGTAACTTGATTCTTTCAAACTCTAAGCCAATATGTCCTAGTCACCAGGGTACACAGACACCACAATTCACTGGACAATTCTGCTTCATGAAGATCTAAACAAAGTTTTGTTTCTGTGACACTATGGGTAGGAAAGAACACAGCTATTTTCCAGGGAATACACGGTGAGGCAGTGCTAGAAATTTCTGTTTAATCCCACAGCTCAGTTTCCAACAGCACCCCCCAATGGCATAGTGAGAAAGCAGCCATCAGAGGCGCAAAAAAGATTTTGCCATTTAACTCATCACATACTCTCTTTACTGCAGCAGCTGCTCTTCCTGATTGTTTCTTATCTAAGCTCCAATCCCATCAAGAACAGACTGAGAATCCCAGGATTCACCTTGTTTATTACTTCTACTGGATTCTTCACAATGATGTCCGTTGAATGTGGACGTGCAATGCCTCTCAGGAGAGTGTTCAACTCTGATGATTTATCGGCAACTCTGTCCTTGTCTCCATCACACATCACACTTGGAACTTCACTGCTACTGGTCTTTGCATCAGCACTCGCAGGTGAGAAAAGGGATGGAGTTTGGCATCTTCCTTGGTTTGACTCCTCTGTATATGTCCCTGTTGGTATCCACAAATCAATGCTGGGAAATCCACGCTCTTCTTTTTCTCTTCCTTGCTTGTTGTCTCCTCCTCTGAACTGTCTGCCAAGTCCAGTTCTATGTCTTCACTGCTACTCTCTGACGAGCTGGAGCTCTCTTGCACGTGTCGGCGTTTTGTTGGCCTAGATCTTTTCTTCTCAGTCAAAAAAAGCACAGACAAGTTTCAGCCAGCATTCACCCTTGATTTGCAAATGTCTCAAATCAGCAAGTTAAAAAGTTTTGAGGCAGTATCCTATCAGTAAGGTGTGACTTCCAAATGGATAGTTCTGCTTTACTTCTGCTAAGATTAACTAAATCCAGTACAACGGACAATTGCCTTTGGACACAGATTTTTATTGGTTTAGATTCTTGCATGCAAGGAAAAAGGTACAGATAGAGACAAGTTTGTGTTAAGAACTGGTGCACATGGAAGTACAAACTAAGTACAGTGGCCCATCTCGACACATTCGGGTTTCCACGAACCCTTCCCTAGGGCAGGTGCTTTGCCAATGGAAACAAAACTATCTTTAACATGGTCTGAAGCAGCCAGAATTTCTGGAGTGCCTGATACCAAAACTGGCAACTCATGAGGTACATACATGAAAACCTAGGTATATCCCATCCTTACAGACACTTCAATGCAATGAAAAAATTCGTTATTTTACAAATATATAGCAAATTAACTTCAGACCTTCAGAACAAAAGCTGCTTTAAGACATAAAAAAATTAGACCATGAACATCCATGACAAAATCTTGATTATGTGAAATCAATGTCAATTTTTATATTAATTTCATAGAATGTTGCTTTAAATTTAGAAAATCTTAATTAAAGAGATGGGACTGTGACATAGCAGGATTTCATACAATACCTTAGACCCAATCATGAGTTTCCACTTGCTTAGACATTGGGAGCCAGTCCGATGTGGCAATTCAGAAGCTATTTTACTCCAGCGACCTAAAAAGGATACAGAATAGAGCATACCTATTAATGCAACAAACTGAGCAACAGGCCTTTTAGGTGCAGAACTTCGTACACATTTTATACATTTCCTTCTATAAGAGAGAGTTACTGTATGAATGGATCTCAAAACCTTAATACTCATTTGCTTTCTTCAATCAGACTGTGCCAGTATACACCCAGCTAAAGTTAGAAACTACACCAAATGAACCAGTGATGAAAACCATAGCAGAACTGCACACTCTCTTGCAGCAGTAATAAGAGCACTTAGAAGAAAGCTTAAACAGAATGCCGAAAAGCATCTATTTGTTAAGGAAAGTTGTCTTAGAGAAAATAAGAGAACTCTTTCACAGGCTGTTTAGAGGGAAACTCACCCCTCTAAACTGTTATAGCTCTGACACCTTCCTAACACAGCTACAGAACTCTTCACTACACAATCCCTCAATAACTGAATCTCCAGGAACAGACTACACAATATAAGGAAGGTTGCAATCATCAGTACAAAGCAGAGCCTGCTACTATCAGCTACAGGGCTTCAAATAAAAGGGGAAAAAATTTCAATGATAAATTCCTTAATAACACTTACTTCTCTAAACTTCTAAAAATTAAGCCACAGAAACACTTACCCAGGCCATGCTTTTGAACCAGTTCAATTAGCTGCTCCTCTTCCTCTAAACTCCACTTGCCTTTCTTTACATCACAGTGCAATGCTTTTAAGTACCTTCAAACCGAAAACATTAAAGTAAGGAACACTCAATCCTGCTGTGTATGTTCCGATCATCAGAGTGTACTGTGAGGCTGAACAAAACCAGCATTCCTTATCAGATCTTTCCTTTTTCTAAGGGGTGCCACCCCTACTCCCTTAATACAGCACAGCTACAACCTCTTTGTTCTCAAAAGTATCAGGCCACACGATTAAGAATTACAACAAGCGGCTGTAAAACAGGTCACTGAAATTAGGACATACTGTACTCTTAAATCTCCTGAAGTTGGGTCCAAGGCTGATACACAGACAATACAGGGATGACAACCTTCCCTCCCTACATTCACTCATTCAAGTTTAGTGACCCCTTTTGCTTTACTTTGAACAACATCCTTCCCAACTTCTGCTAACCAACAGGCAACTATACTGAGGAAGCAGCACGCCACAGGCAACAATGCACTGTTCTCTGTTAAACTCAATTTCAACTTTTTGATTTCTGTAATTGCAAATGCAGGGTTATGTGGAGACAACGTTAGTGACTATATTTAGACAATAACCACTTTTACAAAACAGCCCTTAAGGTGACACTAGTGTAAGTAAATCAAACATATTTGTAAAATAAGTTGCATCTCAGCTCCATGTAATAAACTTGAAAGCACAGTTGCTACATTTAGCATACTTACCGATCTCTGCACTGAGCATCGCTCCTCCCCGGCACTTCTGTCCGAATTTTATACCAGTCACGCTCTCCATACTTCTTAACTGCAGCCAACAGCATCTATGTTAATCAGACAAAGCAAGAGTTGAAATTCTCATTAGTAATAATATCCTAATAGGCCTGAGACAGAAGCAGCTGTATTTGTTTCCACTGAGTTGTAAATCTCTGAACAGAAGTGTTTAAGAGCTTCTAAGCCCTCTTGACTTGCAAACTGCCTGTCTTGATCCATTTTACATTCCTTTGGGCTACTGTTAAAGCTCAGATGTATAGAGCCATGCAACATCTCAACAGTGTAGCCTTCCCACTTGCTGCACCCTGCAGTTCTAGGCATCAGAGAATGGAGCTTACAGCATCTTCCTCTGGTGTCCAGGGTCCTTTCTTCAAACTGGGATCCACGCTCTTTGTCCATCGGTAAATCAGCTGAGCAGAATCTCTTCCTTCCATGTAATAAGCAACTAGAAAGGCAAAGGTGCATTTTGAAGTCTGATGCAAACAGTGTTTCTTCCTTTACTTACATTGTACCTGGGATATTTTTAAACAGTGGATCCTCATAAGCAGCATTTAAGTCTCAGCTTAAATACTTCAAAGGTACCCAACAAGAATTGAAAGAGCGTGGCATACACAAAATGTTACTATTTATAATGGCATTATCCATACTAGACACGTGATGGCCCAACAACCCATCTTGCTACAACAGAGAACTACTAAGAAAGATTTCAGCTCCAATATACATCTGACAGGTTCACGACACCACATGTTATACTAACAGGTTTGGATTTAGGACCCCGGATACTTGGTCACTATTCTCAGCTCTACTCCTCACTAGTCATACTGCCTCCCACACTTCTGAGGAACAGAAGCAGCACTACCAACAGCACCAAAAACTGACAAAAGAGCTGGCCATCAATGAAAACTGGCTTTCTAGAGAAAAATTGTGATGAATTTGCTACAAAAAAGAAAGTTCACACAACCATAAGTACTTGTTAATAACTCTGCCAGTTTCAACCAAATTTCAAAGATGGATAAAGGTTCCAAGAGATACTCGGTTCTTGCTGATATATAATGAAACTTACAGGTAGGTACAGGAAAGGCATTTATCACTGTTCCCACCAAGGAAAGAGAGGGAAAACTCAACCTTTCTCTTTCATTCATCTCCCCAACAAGAGGTTTTTAGAAATCAGTATGTCTGCAGATTCAGATGAGCCACAGCACTGTTGTGCCCTGTCTAGATCGCAGGCTAGAATGGTAAGGTGAAAACACAGAACTGTGACTATCCTGGAAATGGAAACAGTCATAGGAAATAAAACTTCATTAATTCCCTGAATCCGAGCAGGCTGGGTGCTCTTGTATGAAGAAACATTAACAGACATAAGCCCGGGAGAATGAAAAAAAGTTACAGGTGAATGGAAGGCATTTTCATTTGTAGGTCACTTACTTTTTTTGTATGGGATGTGACTGCCTACTCTCATCTCTTGAACAAGCTCCAAAAGCATCTGGTCTTCATCTTTGGTCCATTCTTTCCTTTTCAAATCTTTGTTATAGACTTGATACTTCTGCAAGCACTGGAAAGGTGTCCTGTTGGTCTTAATACAATGAAAACAGAGATATGCAGATACCTGGTTATTCATAAGGACAAAAAGGAAGAGGAAAAAGCTAAAGTACCAAACTTTTTTGGTGCTGTTCTTGAACGCTTCTCAGAAAAGCATTATGTAAACAGCAAAGCATATATAAACAATGAATTAACATTAATGTAATTTTCTGAAAATTGACATGAGACACAGTTAAGCCAGAATTAACTGACTTGTCACCTCTTGTTTCTGAGCTCAGAAGACCTTACCCCCAACTCCTGGGCTATCGTCTGCCAGTCCAGATAACCATGTTTAGCAGCTATCTTCTTTAGCCTCTCTATTTCCTCTTCAGTCCATTCCTTTTTGTTGATGCTTGGATGCTCCCAATTTTGCCAAAACTTCCTCAGTTCTTCTGAACTACGTTGCCCATCAAACTGAAAGAGCAGCAAAAATCTGTTTCCTATTGTAGCTGGGACTGAAACATCTGGACAGGCAGGAACACCGATACAAGGAATATATTTTGCATTGCAGATGTCTTATTGCTAAGTTTTCCAGAATTAAATCATCAAAGTAAACCAATAACATCAAATTTTCAGTCCTTCTGTGCCTGCCAAGTTGAGATCACAGAACAGTCAACTTTGAGAAATGCATGATGGGAACAGTGGATGCAAACTAGTCCAGGCCAGTTAATTCTCAAGAGAAGGGACACAGATATCTGAAGTAATAAAACAGCTGATCTCCCAACTTACGTGGATGTTTGAAATTTTCTCCCAGTCATGCTCATCGAATCTGTTTCCTAACAAGTCACTTTCTGGGAGTTGGCTAAAGCAGAAGGTACAAAGAGAAAGAAAGAACCACATTAAATGGCTAATCCAACAGCCACTTTTGTCTTCCTGATCTTGCTTCATCTCTTCGTCCCCACCTGTTACTGATTTCCACAAGAACTGAACAATTACTATCTCAAAGCATCGGGCTCTTTGACATAGTAACTGCCCAAATGGTGTTTCTTCTTGAAAAACAGTCCTCTACAAAATGATGTTAGTTTAGCAGGGGAAACAATAAATCCAACATCAAAATACATTGCTCCAGACGGTTAATGAGCAAAAGCTCAGAACTACTGAGCTCGGTTGCCTTATTGATAAATCAAGAACTATTTGAAATAGCACCTCTATACACAATATAGACACTACATTTGTATATCAGGACTCAAAACACAATTCTTAGTAAACAACTGTAGAGACGAGAGCTCTACAAAGTTCAAACAGCACTTAATTTTCTGCAAGCAAACACAAATAAAGCTTTCTTCAAACATCATACCTAGAAGCACTCGAGAAAGGAGGGAATTTTAAGAGGTAAACTCTGAGAACAGACTTTGATTTACATGAAGAACAGAAAAAGACGACTTACTTAATTGCCTCTATTTCTTGCTCCAATTCTTTGATTTGTTTTTCCAAGATCTGTTTCTCCGTTTCAGTCTTGACTTTTTCCAGTTTCTGATTCCAATAATTCATCCTGTTCAATGACATTTTTATCATTATTTAATATGATTAGATGGGAATGAGGTCAATGGTATCAGAAAACATAGGGCAAAGATGGTTTCCCCAGCAGGCTTTCATTCAAGTCTATCATTCTTTCCTTCAATTTCCACACTACACAAAGCTGTTGTTCTTCTAGGTTTTCCCCACACAGCACACTCATTCTTGTATTTTTGCCCCTTCAGTGCAAATCATTGACCCAGAATAGGTCTCAGATTAATCATTTTGGTATTTACAGAGAAAACCAACAATTGCTGCAACAACAACAAAGACAGACTGTACCAGCTCGAGGCACAGAAATCTCTCGCTGGACACACCATTATGACTCACTGTCCATTACAATTTCAGTTTCAAGCCCTGTAGACTACATTAAGACTGTGTTAATGGGAAGAAATAAATGGCCATAAAGTGCCACAATACCTCCAAACCAAAACCATTCCACCTGCCAGATACCCACAAAACAATCATCAAGAGTTTACAACCCAATTCGAATGCTGTAACCTCTTGCTTATGATCAGAACATTGCAGTCCAAGACCCTTCAGTACCACGTACGCACCCAGATAATACAGATGCCAACAGAGAATGCAATACACTGCTACCTACAACAGTGTCATTTTCTGCACTGGTGCCCACAGAACAGGGGAGTTTGAGGACCACTGCTGTGATTCACAGAGCGGCTCTCCCATGCCCAACAGTGACAGTCTAAGTATCTCTGCTGTGTTTTGTAACCTTACTGATTTGCAAACAGTTAATGCAAACAGTTAATGCAAGAACTTGCTGAAGGAAGGTGGAATCTCCACATATATTCTCTCCTTCCCCCATATATAATGTTCTCATCAGGAGAAAGATTTTTGCACAGTACGTACTTCAGTAACTTTGGCTGAAGCAGGCGCTGCAAGCGGTCACTTACTACCGATTTCTGCAATAATGTCTTCTCTCTGCTTTTCCCTAGACAAAGCAAGGTAATTGAGCATTCAGACATTAGTGCAAAACCACTGCCAAGGAAGAAAAAAAAAAAAAAAGAAAAAAAAGAGATATCCATTGCTTTCAGTACCACTGTTAAAAGTATCCCCTGGGTCTTCAATAACAGTTCATCTTCATTAGCTACACAATTTTGTTAGGCAAAACAGCAACCAGAGGCTAGGTAAATTGATTCTGTTCACCAAAATAACTAATGTCATGTCCGACTTAGGCAAGTTGCAGCCTCTTTCTCAGTTTTAGTTCCAAAGAGACCTCAATAAAGATCATCCCCCAGGTGTCTGCCTCTATCTAGAGCTGTAAATGTCCCTTGAACTTCTCTCATCTGAGCGCTACCCTTGCACAATCTCATTTGGTTTTGGAGTGCTCACAGTAGTTATTGTATGATGCATCAAAACAAATGAAAATGAAAGCAGCGAACTGTTAATCACTCAATGAAGCAATTTACAGAGCATCCCATTTACTTTTAACTACTCTCTTTTGTAGAGACAATTATTAAATATCAGAAGTGTTGATGTTTAACTGCAAATGGTGGGGGGGAACTAACAATATGAATATACACTTTTGTTATAGCTCTTATAAAACACTGAACAGCAAATACAGTTTCTTACATTTTGTTGAAATCAATTGTTCAAAGGATTTTATGCCCTGAGCTGCCTTCTCCTTGGCATCTTCATTGGAAGGAGGACCCTAATGTAGATTAGATACATTGGAAGAGTCAGATACACAAAAAAATTGCCCTTTCTTCTTAGAACTCTAGCATGAGCTGCTAAAAAAAAGACTGGTAACTCAAACTTGTACAAACTGTCACATCACAGAGTCACTTTTATTAGCACTAGCTCACAGACACATCAGAAGACATAAGAAAACAAATACAAACAGAAACTTCAAGCAAGTAAGTTTGTCCATGGTTACACAGCGCATCCTCAGCTCAGAGCCAGGCCTGCTCGCAATTAGCTGACGGTTGAAGAAGCATTTTAAATGTGGGAACACATATTACGCATGTTTGCACCTACTTAAGATGCACTACCAACTTGGGTAGGATTTAATAGAAAAGTTACGAGTCATTGCTTGAATATTATATTAAATATGTATGGTGACAGCTGACATCTCAGCTACAACAAAAAGATCTCCTTTTGCTAGCAACCCTTTAAAAACACATGAAGAAAAGTAGTGACATTTGCTTCAAAACTCAGTTTCAAAGACAATCAGATTTCAATGAGTACTTTAAACAACAGGATGGAATTGGATTGTGGACATGAAGAAAAACAATCAAAGCTAAGCGGAAAACAAGAATGTTCAAGTGCCCCATGGCTGGAATGCCACTCCTCAGAACTCACTTTCCGACATCACAGCCAGACACAGGTTGAACAAACATTTCCAAAAGAGGGTAATCAAGTGAGAAAAAAAGAAAAGAGGTTTCAAACTGAGGAGTAACATTCACAGTTAAAATGTAACACAGTTACAATTTAAATCTATCATTGCAAGACAAATCAGTATGTAACCCAGTTATATTTACTTACAATTCCTGTTGTTTTATCCTTAAAGTATGGCTTCATAAAATGACCCAAAAATACATTTGCTGGTAGATTTCTACCGTCTCCTGCTTTTGCTATTTTTGGACCACCAAGCTCACACATGATTTCCTTCTGCAATACAAGAATTAAACATTGTCAGTGTCTCCTTCAAATTCCTCATTTCAGAAAGCAGTGGCTGAGCCATCACAAACACCCCAAGCAGGGTTCAAATTTGCAGCACCAGACTGTAAATCAGTGTACATGTTAAAGACAGGATTAGGAACTTCCTAAGTTTGCATAGTACACTCTAGGTGACAAAATAAAATAATAAAATACTAACTTGCTGCAACAAGCGAAAATAAAAGATACAAAATACCCTAGTGGTAGCGTTTTTGTTGATACGAAAGCACAGAAACATCCGTCAAATAACCCATTCAAAAGGCCAGTCAAGTGCATTGATTTGAACTGCCCCGAAGAAAATGAACCTGGTTCCTGGCCAAGCGAGCTGAGCACCACACCAGCATACGAATAAGGGACTGTGACCGCTGCAGCTGATTCCACCAGTACCTGTGATGTCCTGGAAAGTTTTGCTGGGCTTGATGGGCAGGGGAAGATGGCAAATGGCAACCCAGAAAAGCACAGGAATGAACATTTTACTCCTGTTTCCCTCACCTGCTGTTCTTTGTTTTGTGCAATGAGAAGCTCAACTTCCTCGATCTTTTCCTGGATAACTTCCTGGTACACATGGTTCATCTGCAGACATGTTTCTGGATCCTGTGGCAGGCTACTTTCAATATCATCATCACTACTGTCATCTTCTCTTTCCATCTCCTTGAAGAAAATAAGGCATTTTAGAGGGAGGAGGGAAAAAGAAGAGAGAAAACTGTTTGCTTTAAAAGCCGGTATGTAACATAGTTGGTTTTGTAAGCTAATACTTCTATTATCTTACAAAACTGATTTTGAAAAGAATTGGAGGCATGTAACTTTCCCTCTTCCTGGCAGTTGTTTTGAATGGTCCCAGAGGCAGTTACCAGCCTCGCCTAGCTCCCCTTCGCCCTGCTGCTATTTGAACCAAACCAGACCACAAGTCTGACTCCAAATCTTGCCAACACCTGGTCTTGTGCCATCAACTGAAAAACTGTAAGTGAACTGCAAAATAACAGTACTTTACACTGCAGCTCTTTGAGCTGCTAAATCAGTACTTCAGAACCATCCCTTCAAATTTCCACCTCATTTGTGCTTCTACTGAAGCAATTCTTCCCTTACATGATTTACTACCACATGCTCTGGACACAAAGCAGGGCTCTGACCATTTCATGAAAGTGCTCTGCACCTGTGTCCAGTCTGCACCAGCAGATTGGTCTTCACAAACTAGCTTCTCCTTTCCTATGCTGTTCAGCTGCTAAAATATTTCTCTGCTGAATATTTTTATACAAAGTGTGAGAAAATATTATATTTAAAACAACACCAAAGTAAACAGGTTTGAAAAAGTCTTAGAAGTAATTTTCCTCTCACATACAAACCCAGTATTCTTCAGGTACAAAGCAGCAAAAGATTTTTTGATCAAAAGCCGATGATCTCTTTCTCATGCACCATTGCACTGTGACCTCCCCTGAAGCTGGTGTGTTTCCAGTGACACAGACCAGGAAGCACTAGAGCAGCGAGGCCTCCGATTCCTGTCATTTGTTTTCACCCAAAGAAGTCTCTCTATTACAAGTGAATAAAAAAGTCCTGGGTAGGAATAACTAAGCTTCCAGATCTATTATTAATCTTTCCCAAGCTACGGAGTCAAGCCAGCTGCCTAGATTTCCTCAGAACAGAGTGAAATCCCCCTTCCTCCCACTCTCAGATGAAGACAGATGGAAAGGTATGCTTAGAGAAAATGGTTACCATTTCAGCATGAGAATCTGAGTCGTCTTCACCATCATCTGTTAGAAAAAAAAAAAAAGCTTCAATTTTCAACTGAAAAAAAGCAAGTCTTTTCAATTGAAACATACAGAATAAAGCACCACATATTATCTCAGACGTGACCATTAAAAAATTCAGGTACTGCCAATACTGCCCACTAAGTTATGTTCAGTTATACTCCATATATGCAGATTTTTGTTCTAGAGTAGCAGCTTCAACTACAGCAATAATCAAGCTGCATCTCGGTGCTACGCATCTTGGTAAAATAAAGTCTCCAGTGTACGCAGCCAAGTGAACGCTCCAACCCAATAAAACCTGTAAACTTTGTAAGCCCTAACAGACCTTCCACGCTCTTCAGCAATATTTAGTTTTACATTCAATGTGGCTGCAGAGTTCTGTCATACATTATTTGGCCTCGCATGATCAAAACACAGGTGAATAAAGCAACTGTGACAGCCACCATAGATATAAACACCCAAACTATTACTACCCCCTCTTTGCTTTGAAAAATTAATTTTCAGAAGCACAGGCAGGCTGCAAAATGGAGCGGCTCACACAGCAGAGTCTGTGTTGCCCATTCAAACAGCGTGGAAACGGCTGCGATTAACTATTGATAGTATCTGGTCGGCTGTTGCGTTTCCTAAGTCAGCTCATGCCACCTGCTCTGACTAGAGACCTCCATCAGGAGGCGTGATGGTTCTCTCAACCTTCCCCGCTAGGTTGCCGTGGGTTTCATCATGAAAATATGCAAAACACTGGTGCAAGAGGCTTCTCCTGCAAGGACGCTTGCTAAGCAAAGCCTCGAGGTGACGCCTCGCCTCAAGTCCTCCAGAATTCGTTGCCAGCACCGTCCGTGCGCAGCGCCTGGCAGAAATGGGGGGGGGTTAAGGCTAAACCGGGGCGAGCCTCTCCCCCGTCATGCCGGGCGCGCATCTCAAGAGCCAGAGCAGTAACTTAGTGTAGGAGCAGAAGCACCGGGGGAGGCTGAAGAG